AGAATTCCTGGCTGGGGAATTCTGGGAGTTGAAGTCCACTCATCTTAAAGTGGCCAAGTTTGGACAACACTGAGATAGAGGAATATTGGTCTACACAAATATTTTTCCATGGACCCTCTAATGATATAAATTGGAGTGTGCAGGTAGCCCTATGCCTGTTCCTTTATTCAGACCTATTTACGACTGCTCCTTCATATTTTTGGAAATAGCAACCCACCTTTTCTAAAATACATTTTATTTTTAATCGTAAAAGCATTTTAAAGGATCCTTCATTTAATATCGTGCTTGTTTAATGAACAGAGTGAGAACTTGGAATAGTTTTCTGATTGGCTGATAGAAGCTGAGGTTTCGCAGAAATTAACCCAAACAGTTTTCTACCATAATGCACTCCCAGTAAGGAAAAGTCTACATTCTTCCTCACCAAAAATGTGCCTTCTATCTTCCCTATTAAATCTGAAACTTTACACCATTACATCTATTGTCAATTCATTCTTTAAAGTTTCATTTTCTTTAGCTTCACACTGGACCTGCACTGGGGAACTTTTTATTGTAATTTCTTTTTGCTTTTCCAGTTATTCTTCAGGTCCCAACACACCACTCTTTATAATTTATTATATCACCACAGGCATTTCTATCAAATGTTCTTGTAAATTTGTTTTAAGTTGTCTCTATTGAATTTACTTTGATTTCTTGTCACTCAGAGTCTGAAAAAATATATATTTACATGGGAATTTTGCTATATCAAGTGTAAGAGGAAGCAGGACCTACTGTAATTTTTAATGAGTAGCATAAATTAAAAGTCAATATTTCACACCTACAAACATCTCACCCACATGTGAGAGCCATACCGTGGTCTGTGTGCATATCTAGAAACTGAGAAGAGATTTCACTAAAAAAAACTTAGGTTGGCTCCTTATCCAAGTTTGGTTTCTTCTTGCCAGTAGGAGCATGCTTAGGACAATGCTTTCTTACAACTCAGGATCACACTAGATGTTACAGTAAATATTATTCACTTGACAACAGTTGGGCGATGAAGAGGAGGATGGAATACAGATTGGGAGGAGAGATAGAACATAGAATCTTGGAATCCTAAAGGGGGGAACCTTCTGAAAGATGATTCAGAAAAAGTATTTTGGATTTCACACAAGTAAAAACCCAGATCCTCTCTATTCATTAAAACAGATAATCTTTTTTCAGACTTCTGCAGGAGCCTAAAAAAGGCTTGGCTGCCTTAATGAGTCAACTCATGTGACTCTTAGGAGAACTACATCTTTTTTTCAGGCTAGCATGGAAAGCTGAAAAAAGACCAACTCCCAGAATGTCATTTTGATCTTCTTGGAGGGTCACTATACAGATTCAGGTGCAAAGGAAATGCAGTGCAATCCATGGAAGGATCAATCTGGTACTCTACCTTAGAATCCCATACTAGCTGCAACATCCCTATGAAAACCATGTAATACTGATGTCACACTTTGTGACGCAGCACTGATCAGGATGGTGGTTGAGAAGGCAAGATTACTGCCAGAGACTTACAGATGTGGTCTTACCCCACACCACCCCAGTTTATCTTCCAAGATCTGTGCTTTGCTCAGGAATAAATATTCAGAGGTAAAGCTTTAAATAGAACAATCTGTTTGATGCCAGCTTGAATGGGAACATTTGTTAAGTACCTGAAGCTCCTTTTTACTGGAAAAACAAACAAACGTTTGACTCACCGCAACACTGTTGTACAGATTTGTGGTCACGCACACACACATATATTTGTCATACAAAGAAAGAAATTTCATATAGTCAGTTGCTATGAATGTGAACTAAAGAGTATGAGTGCATGAATATGCCTGTTTTCAACACCCTGTTGGAGTTCCTCACTTGTATTTATTTGTATGACTGAAGTTCGCTGTCCCAAAATAAAACTCACTACAGGACATGCTCTGAAGTCCTGGCTGTTAATTTTGCTTTTAATACAACAAACAAACATTTGCTTATACTTGTTTTAAAATGTATCTAATGATTTTCTTCTCCATTTCTTAACCGTCTGCTCCTACTCTTAATCAATTTGGCTGGACTTCTGCATGCACTTCCTTCTCCTCCTCCTTCTCCTCCTCCTCCATTACCACCAGTATAGCTCTTGTATAAGAGGAATTGTAACAGGAAGTTGGAGGCAAATTTATCTTTGGCAATCTCTCAAGTGCAAGTCACTCTTTTCAGTTTCTGCTTCCAAATAATTCACAGTCCCAGGCTTAGGTTTTAAGTGGTAAACTGTTAAGACTTGTACACCACTGTTCATGAATGGGCAGAGCTTGAACGCTCCTCTATCTTACCCAGGTGTCAATTCATCAGACATTCCAAATGTTTGTGTCATGAACTTCTACCTCTCTTTTGCTTTTCAAAAACAAGCCACGCACACAAAAAGCTCCCAGCACCAGCTACTCTTTATTGAAACAATCAGATTTTTCTCTCTTCCTGCCAAGTACTTGCTGATGCCATGAACAAATAATGACTTTTCCACCAGGAAGAAAGCATTAATTAACTGTATTTGTCAGTTTTCTATTCTACAGGGAGGAGGGGGAGTATCTCTTGGAGGTGTCAGCCAAAGGTGAAAGGCAGATTACTGCACAATGCAAGGCCTTCCAAGCTAAATCTCATCTTTGTGGTTAGCTTTTAATAATAAAGTTGTCACCAAAGAGTTTAATGGTTTTAATTTGGTTTAATTACTTGGAAATGGAACCAGTTTGTTTGCTCGTATTAACTAGAAAGAAAGGAGGTTGGGAGGGGGAGAAGGGAGAGTGTGCCACATGCCTGAGTGAGGATAGGCTGGCTTTATTCTTTCGTTGTCGAGTGTTACGCCTTGATGAGAATATAAGAAAGCAATTACACCACTTAGTATTAAGCAAGTTTGTTTGAGCTCCAGAACAAATTCCACCCCCCTCCACCATACCGTTTGTTCCATTCTTCTCTAGTTATTTATTTTAAAATATTGCTTAGGGGAATCATTTATGTCAATAAAAAAGTCAGACTGGGTCTCTTTTGACAACTATTTCTTATAAGCATTCACCAGTCTTTTCATAAAACAAATTCATATAATGGCAAATTAATGGTTACCAGGAGGCTCAGGCGCAGGCAGGATTAATACAGGATTCTTGTGTACAGCAGAAGGGAAAAAGCAGTATACTTTCATGTGGTTAAGGATATATTTTTTTAAAAAGCATATACTTTCATGTGCCTAAAGAGATATTTTTTTAATCATACCAATCACTTTAGATAAACTACCAAACGTTGAGGAATATAGCAGAATGGCTTAAAGAGTCAAGATATTGCTAACAGGAATACTAACATTTTTTTTCTGCCTTAAGAATATGTGTGGTTTTTCCCCCCTCAGTTATGCCAAATATTGTTGCCTCCTCCTCTTCCAATCAGACTGAATGGAAGAAAATGCTGTATGCAAGAGAGCTAAGTATTTTTTTTATTGCATATCTGGTGCATTCTGGCAGAGCGGATGTCCTTCAGCTCCCCTCAATTAAATGTTGCCATTTTGTGGGACCAAGGAAGTGTGTCTTCTCTGTCACAGACCCTGCCCTCTGAAAGAGCATCCCCGCAGGAGATGCGTAGGGCTCTCACTTCCAGGCCTGTCGCTGTCAAGTCTTTTTTTTTTTTTAATGTTGGGAATGCTGTTTCATGTTGTGGTTTTAACTTATGCACTCCACATATTGTAAGCCACCCAGAGACTTTCTGGAGTTGGACAGCCTTAACACATCTAACCTAATAAATACCATGAAGAAAAGGATTGTCCTGTTTTCTGTAACGGCATTTTCCCACTCTTAATTTGGAGGGCTATCCATCCATCCTTGAGTTGGTGGAAAATGTCTCTGTGATGCTACCTGTCCTACAGAATAGCATTCCCCTGAAGTTTGTGGCGCTCCAACCCTGTTGTGTTTTCACACATCTTTAAAAACCTGAGTCTTCTAACATACCTGGGGTAAGTCGATTTATTTATGATTCGTTCTGTCTTATTGGATTTCTGTCTTGTGATCACAACTGGGCGTCATTTTGTTCTTTTCCTGGATGTCCCATTGGATATTATTGTTCATGGTTTGGTCATTTGGACTATTCTTATTTTGTTGATTTTAATCCTAATACATAAGCTGCCTAAAGTTGCCTCCATTTATTTAAATAAATGCAAACATAATGAAACTAATAGTAAGAAATGTGCTGACCCTGTTGCTGATTCCTATTCTGCCTCTCTTACGTTGCTTTTGAGCCCCTGCAGTCCCCTGACTTCCTTCCAAGGTAACAGGTGACAAAGCCCAACAGATTTTATACAAGGTGAGGTTGCCCTTGGACAGTGTTGAAATAAAGG